GAAAGTAACCTCAATTAAGTTGAGTGAATTAACTGAGTGTTGTAGGTTATGCCTGAAACAAATAATAATGGAATAATAGCCAAAAGTACACTGCTACCCTTAAAGTTAATGTTCTGAAATATTTCAGTGGAATCTCTACTTCTTTAAATAAATACATGCATATCACTTTAAAGGCTGCTGACACCACAAATTAGATGGAAACATGGTTCCTTAACAAAGAAACAAGAAGGCAGGAGTAAAATAATACACTTCTAAATCTTGGATTCAATAATGAACAAGAGTTATAAATTCTAGCACGTTTGCAGTATAAATATGCAGTGTTGAGTAAGCATATGACAAAAATAAAATGAAACTATTGTTTTAACTCAGAGGGAAGGGTGTAAAAAGCGTATGAGAAAGATACAGCTACATACGCTTTTAGATCTTGGAATCTTGGAGAATGGAAGTGTTCAGATTTCTTGGTAGTGAACAGTGAGATTATCTTTAATTCTGTCTTTTTCTCAGATTAATTCAATAAAACCCTAAAAGTATTTTCCAGTGTTGAACTGCCATTGTGTTTATTCATATTTAGTGGTGTGTTTGTGGCACTGAACTGTGAGAGGAGAGCTTGGCAAATTCACCAGCAGTTGTCCCAAAAGCTAGGCTGCAAAGTTTCCTGTCTAACATAGAAGTAACTTACTTCCATTAATGGAATGCACAGAGCAGGACACACTTGTCAAAGATGCTGCACTTCATGCTGTGCCATCTCAGTGCAAACCCTGTGTCATTTCTGGTTAAACTAAGATAACCTGGGAAAACTTGAGATATGGACACGTAATTGCTGAAGTCAGGGCTTTGGAGGAGAGTTGCACTGGTGGACAGATGTAATGCTTTTAGACTATGGAACACTTAAGTCTTTCAGGTTCACATTCAGTTTTCTAATTTTAATCTGAAATAAGGTTGGGAAAGGGTCACAATAAACAGTGAAGCAATAGCCTTGCTTTCATATTGGATCTGTGTTTTGAATTAATGAGTAAGGAACAAAAGCAATGGAATATGGTTGTGAGCAATGGTGTAGAACACTATTGATGGAGGAAGAGGTTTTGGCCAAGAAGTATCAAGAGAGTGCTTTTTTTTTGGTTTATTTTTGTGTGTGTGACCAAAAGGCACAAGGTAAATGTTTAATTTTACATCATGTTCCTGGTATTAGAGACAATATACAGTGTTTAATACAAAGGCCATGGTGTGTTTTACTCTGTCACTGACCTGTCAGTCAGATTGCAGGCCTAGTGGTACCTCCTGGGTATAGTATGTTACACAAAGGTTTTAGATGTTTATTAGTAGTTGTAGTAGCATTTAAGGAGCTTATTAGTACGTATAGTAGCCAGAAATTGACTTGTAGCTGGTTTTCATAGGGTCAGAAAAGACTGAGTTTGGCTTCGTGTTGTCATAAACTCTTAACTATAAACAATAAAAACTGAAAATGATATTTTATATTGGGCTAGGTCTTTGATAAATCATCTAGGAAATACTGAAATCAAGGAAAGTATCCTTCATTGCTTGGGAACACTCCAGTTGCTAAAACAAGCACAAATACATATGCACACACACGTTCTCTTTTTTTCTTTCTCTTTATTTTTTCAACAGTTCCAATACTTTTTTTCAAAGAGCATTCCTGACTTGTGTGTGTGAGCTGCTTCTGTGGAATTTCTGTTTTGCATCTTCAGAATCCTTTTTCCTCAGCAGAGCTCTTGCTCTTAGGGACTTGAGAAATATAATGGAGCTGCTTGCATGCATGATTCCCAGCTTTTATTGAGGTCTCCTTTGTCTGTCTGTCTCTCATCCACAGATGTAAGACACAAGGATGGAGGTAGGAGAAGCACTCATGGTAACAACTATATTGACTTTATGACCAAAACATTATGGTACACAACTTTGTGCAGACACTCCTGGATTTCAGTACATTCCTGGCTCAGCTATCAGTACACTTCTTATCTTAAACTTCCTCCTTTCATCCTTTTCCTGTTCCACAACCCTTTCTCTCACATAGACTGTGTTCAATTTATGTGATAATCTGCTTATTCTCCTTGCAGATGATATCTATTTTAATAGCATGTAGAAAACACGCAGTCACATTGTGTTGAATTTTTGGGTTGGTTGGTTTCCTTTGGAGCATTTTGTAGTAAAGTTTAAAAAAAAGAGCAACAAGACACCTTCCAAAATAATTTTTAAAAACAAAAAAACAAAACATAAAAACACAACTCAAAACAGCCCAGAATTTTGTCATTCATGCAAGAATTCATGTAATTGTGTTCATGTTTTGTATGGGTGGGTGGAATTACCTGTAAGTTTTCTTACTAATGTACTTACTGCAGAAACTAGCATAATAGTTCTGCCAAGTCTTCATTTCATAGTGTGTATGTATTTTTAGAGTGGTTTAGTTATGCAACAGGAAAAAAACCCTCCATACTTAAGCTAGAACCTGAAATCAACCAGGAAATTGAAAGGATAGTATCAGCTGAACACATGGAGTTTCAAATGAAGAATTTGGCCTGAATGTAAAAATGAGAAATGCACTTCCAAAGGTATTAAATGTTGCAGGTGTCTTATTTAAATAATTTTCTTTCAAACTTTTAAGGTAAATCTACAAGTACAAAGCAGTATTTTTTCTTGCTAGAGAACATTTTTCATGGTTGTTTTCTTACTCTTAAAGTTGAAGTAAATCTCTTACTGCTGGCTAGCATTTTTGCTCACATCTATCTTTATCTATGCCTTCCACATTACATATATATATGTATATATGGTGGAGATTGTCTTTACTTTTTATTCTCTTGGCTTATGCCTAGCACTGTTTCTTCTTTTTATTCTCTTGGCTTATGCCTAGCACCGTTTCTTCAGGGGGGAGACCAACTGTCATGGCATACATTTACAGTATAGGTTTATTTTGACTTTGCACTCCTGCTTTAATTCACCAATGGTAAGTTGGGTAAGTCGTGCCTATTTAATTTAGTTTGCCTACTTTAGCTGCCTGTTTTTAAAAACAAACATAGGTAGCAAGAGGTGGGGTGGGGATAAGTGTAAATATAGCTGAGCATGTATAAAACATACCAGAAATGGCTCTTTGATGCAGTTCCTAGAGTTAGCATTCCTACCTGGATAAACTATATAAAGTGTTGCTGCTGTTATCTGTAAATTTACACCAGCAATCTCGCTTTAATTGGCACGTTTGTGGCAATGGACTCTTCTAGCAGATATTGCCCTGCTGTATTACTGTAGGAACAAAAATAAGAAGGGAGGAAAGAAAAACTCCCCAATTTTTCCCCCCCGTGGCCTGCCAAATCTCTTTTTGTGCTTCCAGATAGCCCTGTTAGTTTCCAGTTGTCTGTCATGACCTGACTAGAAGGCTTATTGCAATGGAGTGGCGTGTTTGGGTCCATGCTGTGTAAGTAGCTGTTGTCCTAACAGTTTAGTATAAAAACATTAAAGAAAGCATAATTCGTGTTAACTAGGGAACCAGTAAAAGGATTGCACATGCTTCAATCTCTGGCATTCTTTAGTCTAAGAAAGTGATAGCTAGCATGGATGTGAACTCCACATCTCTGGCTTACTTCAAGTAAAGCTTGGTCATTCTAGGCTGGGGGCAGATGAACTCCTGCTCATAATGTCAGATAAGTTACTATTCTTGCTAACAATTGTTGTGGGGTTTCTTAATTTTTTTTTCCTCTGAAATTAGCTAAGACTCATTTGTGTGCCCAAAAATTGCAGTAAGGGTAAGCTGCAGAGCTAACAAATGGCTTGAGGACTGATAGAGTAGGTGATAGAAGCTTATTTTGAAATTAGCTCTTATTCTCTTATATATGAAAGTTGTTGGAGTTTTCTTTTCACATCCGAGTTTCCAGATGACAAAAAGTTAGATTAGAAAATAACCCAGATTTTTTTTGTTTTCTTTTGAAGTAAACGTCTGCATAATCATTAGTTTCTCTAGTCAGACACACAACTGTCCACTTTGGTGGTTCATGTCCCATTAAGGTATTATTAGAGATTGCAATATAGTCTAGAGCTCCACTGTAAATAAAGTCAGCTTGGCAATGGACAGATGTTTTCTAAACATTTTGTAGTTCGTTAATACAACTGATGTTACTACATGAAAGTTGAATAAGAAAATTCTGCATTCAGCTCTCAGAGAATGATTGTTTCCTTGAAGCATGGTAGACACCTTGGCATAACGTAGCAGCACATAATGGTTTGTGGGTTTTGAAAAGGTGCAGGCCATATTGTGCTGCCTCAAAAATACAAGGATTTCTTCACCCTGAAGAGACATACCACTTATGAATTAGTCAATCTTGTGATGCTGATGTCTGTCATACTTTAGCAGCACGTAAATATTGGTGTTAAGACTGTAAATATCTCCAGTATTAACTGTGCTGCTGAAGTAAGGCTAGCCACTTCTGCACGTGGGTCATGGAACAGGAATTGCATGTATTTCCTATGCCTTTTTATTGGTATAAATTTGTATATTGTTTGTATATGAACACTTTCTTAGCTTTTTTTTGTATTTTCATTTATTCAGAAACTATATTTAGAGCTTCATAGTATCTAATGGTAAATATAGAGTAGACATATATATAATTTTGCTTTGGTTTATGTGAAAACTGAACATTTAAGGAGCCATCTCAAGCTACACCTGTCTAACAGTGCTTTGGTAAGTGTGTTTATATCTTTAAAAGCTATAAAAATTGTTACTTTAATTGTCAGCACATTTTTCTATTAAAACTCTTTAAACTGTTCATTTTTACAACCTTTGGAACTGGAACTGTGAAGTTTTCGGTCATGCTTTTAGGAAAGAGAACTCATAAAGAAAAAGTGCCTTCCAATTTTTTTAACAAAACTTATTAACCACTTCATTTCTTAAACCACTGGGCTATAGACAGGTAACTGTTTTATGGTTTGAAGTTTAAACTGTGTATCACTGTGAATTTACTAATTTTTTCTCATCTTCCACTAAGATTTTTCTCTTGCAGGACAGTCTTTCATTGAGATGATTGAAATTGCTGCAGTGAGAATGGAAATTACTTGGGCTCCTTTCCTTTTAAAAGCTGCATGCAAGAACTGTGTGGTGAGTCAAATGTAGACTAATGGTTATGTAAATGTCTCTAATTTTAGATACAGATCTGAAAGTGTGTTTCCTTTTAAGAATTTATTTTCTTCACTATCATGACTCAGTATCACTTGCTAATCTAATTTTATTAGCCCTGTTGTATTTTACCATTTAAAATACATATACCTTGTTCAAATAGGTGTTCACAGAGTCAAATTAACATATCATATAAATGTTTTAAAAGGAGGAGAAGCAGCTTATCTTCACTCAAGAATTGCTTTGATTTTAGCCTTCATGAGCCTGCTACTGGTGCAGTTGCACACGTACAAACATAATGTAGATGAATATGAATCCAAGTTGTTGTAATTTGTAAGTTTGCATTATTTGACCATAGTTCAGAATTTAACACTGGTAAAAATCACATCTCGTTTACAACTGCTATGGATTTGAACTAGCAAAATTACTAATGGTTAAAATTTCCAATTTAGTTCAAACCTGAACAGTTCTCAATAGCACAGCTATGCAGAATTAGCCTACAGCTTTTCACAAAGAACACTTGTGTACACATTTACCTACTACATTTCCCTTAAGATACAGGACCAAAGGTTGACTGCTTATAAAAAATATCCTATCTGGCTCAAAGTTGGATAGCTTTGTCATTGAGTTTCTGCAAGTAGCAGTGTAACTGCTAAATATTAAAGACCTGCACATAAACTTCAGCCATTTGAAGACTTAGAAATTCTTGGAAAGACCTTAAATGTTGCTGATTTTTTTCAGCATGCTGCAGCCTGGTACTTGCAGCAGGCCACCCATCCAGTTGCTCTTGTATATCTAGTATTTTAATGTACCCAGGATTTTTCCCAGGGACTTTTATGAGTAGATGTGAATTTAAGGAGGTGATCAGAGACTTGAGAGCATACAACAAGTCAATTTGTGTGGCTTTGTCAAAGTCCAGTGGCCAAACTGCTTGTTCTTGACAACTTCATTGTGCTCATGTTGGCCTTTGTGCAAAGAGTGAAACAGACTGTGCTTCCTTCTGGCTCACCATGCAAGCTCCTATCACTGGCACAAGGGCAGGAAATAGCAGGGAGCAGGAAGAAGCAGAAGGGCAAAGGTTGGAGCGCCTTGTTCGGTGGCCCTAGCGGCTTAGAATAGTTCAGTGACATGGTGAAAACACAGTTTGAGCGTTTGCAGAACCAGAGTTCAACTGAGGAACCAAAGTTTCTGTCTGGATTAAGAAAACTACTTCAAGTGCTTATGTAGGCCTACTCAAATGATTCTGTTCCTAAACCTTTGAAAAGGATGTGACATTTCTCACATGGTTCACAGGTGGCTTAATATTAGCAGTTCAGAGGTTTGCCTGTATGGGTGGTGCCAGAGACTGTGGCTGGATCAAACTCATTTTGTGTTGCAGCTCTGGGGTCCTAAGGACTGTGCCTGATGTAAGAAAGAAAAGCTCAGTGTTTTTAGTTCAGGTGCTTATTTTCTGCTAGGTAGGAACTGTATGGGAAAAAGATACTTAATTCACATAAAAAAAGTGAGAAAAGATAGGTCTGCTTGAAAATAAACTAATAGCTGTATGTGAGTGAAGACAACTAGTGCTAGGAGCATGTCTAAAAATGTGATGTTAAAAGGTTGGAGCTGAGAACAGATACAGGAAGGACAGATCTGATGAACTGGAAAATCAGAAGGATTGAAATCCATTGGGCAAAGATTTGGGGGTTTGATTATTTATTGAAATTGGAAGAAGCAGCATCCTGACAGAGGGGATCTGGCATGAAGCAAAGAGAATCAGTCAGGCTTAGGGAAAGAGGCTCATCCCTCAGATGATCCCTCAATCCTCAGATGATTCCTAACATTCACTGGAGCGCTTTGCACTTCAGATCCAGAAGGGAATGCAGACTGTTTAGTAGCTTTTGCTGTCATATAGGAAATCACTGTCAATTTCATCCCCCTCATCGTATTCCACAAAGAGGGCAGGCCTATTATGACCCTGAGCTACTTCATGGATTTTGGTCCTGAAAATAAATCCCAAAGTAAGTAGTTGAGGTTGTAAGGGAAAGCTCTAGTTCAAACAGGGTCATTTCTTTAAGGTTTGTCCAGTCAATTTTGAATATATTCAAGGATGGAGACTCTGCATCCTGCCCTGTTCAGCTAGAATTTCATGCAGTTCATTTCTTACCGGTTGCCTCTTGTCCTGTCTCTGGACACAACTGAGAAGAGCCTGACTATGTCTTCTTTACTCTCCCATACCCCCACCAGCAGGCATTTAGGAACATTGCTGAGATCACACAAACACAAGCCTTTTCTTCTCCAGGCTGGAGTCTCAGCTCACTCAGCCTTTCTTCGTGTGAAAGATTCTTCAGTTCTCTCATCGTCTTTGTGGAAGTAAATAAAATGCTTCATCTAATAAGGGGAATTAGAATTCAACGGAGAAAACGTTTTTTGTGAGGGGGGGAGAAAAAGCCAAAGCACAAGCTAATAACTGTAAAAAGAACAAGAAGATCACAAAATGAAACATTAAGAAGTTAGATAACTCCTGCTTTAAGATTCTGCAATCTTCATTTGCCCCCTTGTGTCAGTATACTATGAAGCAATCTTCATGATCACACACAATGTTTAATGTATTGATAGGGTCAGCCTGTTGTGGTGCTGGGCCAGGGAAGATGTTTGTGGGCTGTGCAAGCAAGAAGCCTGATATTGTTACAGGTGCTTCAGAAACTGGTAAAAAACTCTGTAGGCAATGGAACAAATGGCTGCAAATAGAAGAAACCATGTCTTCATGGTTATATCAAGTGAGAATTCCTAAGAATTTTATGTGATGTTTATTTTTCTGCCTTTATTCTCCCTTGATGCTGGACAAGTAACCAGGCCATTGTTTCTGTAATGCATATATTGTGCTTTACTTTAGAGGTGTCTGATTTAAGACTCATGTGTGAGAGAAACACTGGTGGTTCACATTGGTAGCTGAGCTTCTTAGGAGTTGTCATTTGAATTAAAATACTCTGTAAAGTTATGTCTGCTGACAGTCTCCTGTCTTCTTAAAAGGAACTTCAGATTGTTGCATACTATGATAGTTTCTACACCTCCTTGTCACATTTAAAATGGGAGTAATGGACACATACCTTGAAGGGCTGTTGGCTACTTTTGTTTAGTAGCTGTACTACAGTAATGCATGTCCTCATGGAATTTTCTATGGCATTTAGTAATTCTGATTTCGGAGGAAGAGGTGAGTACCGTGCATCTTTTAAAGACCAGATCTGCAATCAACTTATCAATTGTTATCAGCTCAGGCTGGGAAGCAGAGTTTCTGTGCTATTTATTCATAGTCTATTTCTGCAGTCCTGTGAACGGCAAAATATTCTGATTTGTGTCCTGTCTTGTCACTGATTCATTTTGCAAATACAACTCATTATTAAATACTTGTGTGTGTCGTTTTTTGCTTGTCATCTTTGTAAGCAACATCATCAACATTCTGCAAAATCTTCCATATACTAAAGGTAATGTACTTATTTGAACTTCAGCATATTTGACAATAAATTTACCTGTGAAGATCTATTTTCCAGAAACAATGAACTAGTTAAATTGTAAAAATTTCTTAATGTACAGTGGTAAGCACTTAATCTCTAAAAATGTAAAGGGACTTATACCAAAGTATTTAGGACTTCTAACCTAAATGAAGCCATTTTCTTCAGATTTCAAAGGCAGTTTTCTTGATACTGCCTATGGCAGGCACACTTTGTTAAGTAAGAGTGGTCTGTACTTGAAATTTGGATGCAGTGATCTGAAAATGTTTCAGCTTTTCCCTTAGTCATGGTATCTTGTTAAGTATTGGGGAAAGTCTCTTCTAATTAGGTAGCCGCAGTAGCAGTTGAAATTTGAAGTGTTTAGACTTTTCCTTTATCACAATCTATTGTCACAGAAGTCACAAGAAATTATAGAAATACACCCAGAGTGGTGAGCTGCTTATGTACCACTTTAACAGCAGCAGCAATTCTTCATGTGGAAAACAAAGACATTTAAAATGTACTTGAAAGAAAACTTATGTCTCAGATATATGTGAATCTCCTAAGGTGGCAGTTGTGTGTATCACAATAAAATATTAAGCTATAAATAAATAAGGGAAAAATGATGAAAAATGCAATGGCGTGAGTAACATTGTTCATCTTTCTGTGAGTGGGATAATAATCATCGGAGTACTTTTTCACTCTAAATAGTTTATTCTGTTAGAAGTTATTTAATGGTCATCAGGTGCAACTCTTATTTTTTTCCACATTTTATTCACTTATAGCTCTGTGTTTGTTAATAAATAAAATTAAATTTGTTATATTGCTTCTGCCTCTTAATATAAAATTTGAATCTTATGTTCAAAAGTTCTGAAATTAACATAATTATAAGAGCATTTATCTACCTTGTGTCTTCAATCTAAAGTATACAGTGCATAGTAGGTGAAGGTTTAATTTCTCTTGAGAAATAGTAATAATATATTTGAAGGGTTTTGTTCTGCTGTTTATAGCCACAGGAGTCGGACAGAAAGCTTCACATTTCCCTGTATTTCTGCAGGGCAAGTATGTGGCTTTATTGCCCATAAAAGAACTCTGTCAGCAGCTTTTACACTTTTAAGTGGTTTTAAAAGTAAAACATTTTGGAATCTCTCAACAAATAAAAAAAAAAACCAAAAACCTTAAGTATTATAAAATTTGAAGTATATAAGGCATAAATTATAGCATAGAAAGTCTCAAATGTTTACAATTTTAATGTTTTATTGAAATAAAGGCAAAGGAAGAGCTTCAGGCGTTATATTATTTGACCAGTTAGACTAGTCAACAATAATATAAGACTATGGTTCTACAGCTTTGTGATTCTTGAGCCAGACAAGTTTGGGAATGAGTCTTCTTGTTTCTTTCGCTATTAACCTGGCCCTCATATGTCTTTGGTGGTTTCACTGAGTGACTAGTTTAGGTTTTTGGTAAGCTCAGCCAGCTGAATGTGCTTGCTGTATGCAACAGTGCCAGCACCAAGAAAATACCCTTCACTCCTGAGACTGGCACCCAAGTTTTAAAGCCCATTTACATTGCTTAAGTCACTGTAAGGAATATTCAGGGCATTATTCTTCCTTTCTTGACACTACTACAGACAGACTCTGCCCATCTACTCTTTGAATCAGTATCAAAGGGTCTAAAAACATTTTGGTCTATCTCTTTTTTTTTTTTTTTTTTCAGAAGATTAGTATCAACATATGAAACCAGCACAGAAATGTTCATATAGATACAGCTTCTTAGCATTTGGAAGCAGCTGTGGTATGCCTTTCCTTTTATCAAGACAATGTGAAAGTCTCCCCCTTTTCCAACAAGCAATATCTATTATTTTCAGACACATCAATAAATACATTAAAGCTGTATTATCTGTCTATAATGGACCTTCCAGATCAAAAATATTATGTTTCTAGTAGTATAAGACAAAGATGGACAAGAACTCTAATGTTTTGGAGGTATGAAATCTGTTAAATGACTTGTTCTTCAACCAATTTTAGGAAGTGTGCATGAATGGTAGGTTGTACAGTCAGGAAAAGGATTTCACTGCAGATTTGATAACATTGTGTAGCCAGACAGCCCCCTGTTGGTTGTATTGCTGTGGAGGTTCTCAAAAAGAATTGTGCTTGAATTCAGCTGTTCACTGCACTCAACAAGAATTTTTTTTCAATCCCATATCACAAATAGAAAAAGTGGAGAGAGAAGAAAAATGTGTGTGCTCATAAAAACTACCTTTAAATTAAATTTTATCTCTTGTGTTTAAGAAATGTTAAAGCTTGGTTAAATAGTGTGCTTGCACACAGTTTCTAATGCCTTTATGGAAGTTTATTTTTAAATTGCTGTAGTAAAAACATAGAACAGTGCTTTGTCCTTGTGATAAAACTTAAGACTAGCATGCTTTAATATCACATTTACAGCCTAAGGCAAAGTATTTAGATAAAGTTCTGTCAAGAATGCAGGATTTTAAAACAAAAAGTTTGTAAGCTGGCAGTGAACTAAACAATTGCAGCCTTATTTAATGACTGAGACTCTCTTGCAGAGCTTCTGCTATTTAACAAGGTACAGTTTTACCAAGAGTCTTGGGTGTCTTTTAATCACATTTGCTTTGCTTTAAGATGTTTTTTGTATGTGTTTTAAGTTGCTACCAATGCAACTAGCTGCATACTTCAGTTTGTGTTTTCTCATCTGTTGAGAAACAGTTATCTCTTTCTGCATCAGGTATGGCCAAGGTTATAACACCTTATCTTCATTTAAGGAATTGGATTTGTGGCTAAAAATCCATAGCTGCAACAGTGCTAGAGAAACTAATGTTACAATTAGTTTTCTACTACAGCACAGAAGATTATGAAGCATGATTGCCAAGAAAGCCAGTGTGTGGAGGACTTTCTCACTCTTAGAACACATTAAAATATCAGTGATCTGATATCTTGGAACAGCTGGCAGAAACAAGAGGGTAAGGCTACAATGCTGTAGTTGAAAAGGGGGAATGGGAAAGATGGGGACAGAACAAAGAGCTGTTTTTAAATTGTCAAAACTTGCTAAAATCCCTCAAAAGTTTTGAGAAACTAGCTGAAACAATCTCAAAGCAAGGAGACTCTTCCATGAAACAGAAAACCTAGGTTTCAGAAGCCTGAGGGGAGATTCAAGTTCGCATCTCCTGCTTCTGAAAAAATACCCAGTGGAAGTTGGCCACAGATGTTCCCCATCTTTCTTGTTAAATCAAGGATATGTGCAAAAATGTCACAAAAAGATTTTGTTCAAAGGTTGTTGGCAGTGATAACTATGGCTGTTAGCAGATGAAAGCAAGCTGCAGGTAGGATTTCAAAGGGTAGTGGAATTTGCTTTTATTGGACTAACTGTGCAGTTCCTTGCATGTTCCATATTCTTTTCCTAAAATGTTTCCTGAAATAATGGTAAAGCCAGCATACAATAAATATAAGTACCCATTAAAGCACACTAAAGGAATACCTTATGTTTCCAGTAGATGTACGCTGAGATAACGAAGTATTTGTGAATCACATCACAGTGCTCTGTTATGCCAAAGTTCTGGGTTTTATTGCTGGAGAGAGCACCAGTAAAGGTGGCTTTAAATTGCTTTATGCTCCTACATTCTCTAAATCTGCTGAAGATGGAAAGCAGGGAGCAACTTTAAAGAACTTCATGGCTGTTCAGCAATCTGCAAGGAGATTCACTTCTTCCCTCCTGCAGTCTACCCTCAAACTGCTTTCTTTCTGTGTTTGAAGCAGCCTTTTGAGTCTTTGGGTTTCAGAAGTTTTTTGGTTTGGGTTGGGTTTTTTTCATGGGGGAGTTTACAGTCCCCCCTCATAAATTAGCAGCATAGGTAAGAGCCTCTTCTAGGTTGAAGAAGATTCAAATAACTTATCCTGTTCAGAAAAATTATAATATTCTTCCTCTTCTGAGGAATGGTTACTCCTTTCCCAAAGTAGGATTGAACTTCAGGACTTCCTCATGGTTCTTGGAATATATTTAATTTTTAGTTAAATAATTCTAGTCACTTAGAACATACAGGTACTTGCAGAGCTGTTACATTGTGTCCCATTATTTTATGCTTATTCAGACATAAAGTAAGTAGTCTGAGAAAAGCACTACCTTTTGCTATGAATGTATCTCAGTTTCCTTTAAAACTGCAGGTTTTTCTCTTTAGCTGTGAAGAATTGTCCAGAGCAGCAGAGATTTTCAGTCATAATTGACAGAATCCTAGCTTTATCTCTAGTTTTTTCATGTTTACTGCAGAATTCTTTTAAAAACAGCACCTGGTCCTGGTGGATTTATAGTGATTGAGTTTCTCAAGCTTTCAATAGGCTCTTCTTTTGAGACATCTAGGCCTGGGGAAACTACTTTGAATCCCCATAAGGCACATCCTTGAGACAGGAATCTCTCTGTCAGCCTTTGTAAAAACCAATTAATTTATACTGAACTTCTTTACCTGTGACACTCATCTGCCTCTGGATATTACATAGACAAAACTAAAAAATATCTTCCTGAATTCTGACATCTTTAAGAATACTTGTGATTCTTCTGTGTGTGTGTTGTGCATTGATACACGGGTGCTGCATGCAGCCATTTGTACCCATGTGTACCAATATAGCAGAACATTTTTCAGCAGCACCTGTGAAAGCAGTAGCTGTGTTCTTTGTGCAAGAGTAGTGTTAATCTATCCCCTCATTCTTCAGACTACCAGTGGCTACAGAGAGCTTCTCATTAGCAAATGATAGTAGTAATTTTATTTTTCACTGATCTTCTTTAGTTTTTTTTTTACTTTACTTTCTTACTTGTTCGTATTAACACTTGCATAACTATTAAGATGTGATTTAGTAAAACTAGCATTTCTGGTTTGTTTGTTTTGGGGTGTTTTTTTTTGCTTTGGTTGGATAAATTGCCTCAGCCTAGGAAGAATTTCATGTCTGCACATACCCTGTGAACGAGCACGACCTCCCTAGCATTCAGACATTTGCTGTGTAATGTAGTGGTGTCATTAAAGACTATCTACATAAGATACACTTTATTCAGGTGGATGAGCATCACATGAATCTTCTAAGAAGGCTGAGCAAGTGAAACATATTGCCTCAAGATGTTACAAGTGATACAGGCACCTGGCCTCTGGTTCTAGTTTGCCTGAGCAGAAACATTTGAGAAAGACCAGAGCTCTTTTGCTTTTCTAACTTCTTGTTCTAGGCTGTCAACAAGTCTTCTAATATGGCTAGACCTTGATTAGATGGAGACAAGGAACATTTGCAAAACAGATCCTGATTTTATCCTACATAAATTCTTCTGAAGAAGTTAAGAACAGCTCAGACCTGGAAACACCAGGTAGTCCAGTGATGCAGAGCTGGAATTTTCATGATACAATGGTCTACAGTTCTTGGATTCCTTGGCAGCCATAATTCTAAAGAAATTATC